TTATATGTGGGCCAAAAAAATAATATGCATTTACAGAATAAAGAATATGCATTTATTTATTAAGCCCGTCAATGGGCTAGACAATTAGTATGCATTTAAAGAGGGTATGCATTTAGGGGGGATGCATTTAGAGAGGTCTGACTATAATATAATAAAAAATAACTACACTTAACTAGGGGCAAATTACTCTCTTTAATTATTGTTAGAGTTAGAGTTAGAATTAGAAATTAATTTTTTTTTATATAAAATAATATAAAGCTAATATAAGATTTTGATCTTAGTTTTTATAAAATTTTTAAGAGTTTTAAATATTTTTACTTAGAATATCCAATCTCATTTACTTAGTATTTTATTGAAATATAGCACTTCTAGTAAATTTTCTTCTAGTTAAAATTAGCAATTCCCCAAAAAATATTAATTTTGAATATTAGATATGCTGTATTTCTTTTATTAATACCAAATTATAAATAAAGTAGTATAAAAAAAATATATTATATAGTAAAAAATATAGAATTTAACTAATTTTAACCCTGGGTGATTTTAATAAATTTTAACCCCCGGGTGATTTTAATAAATTTTAACCCCCGGGTGATTTTAATAAATTTTAACCCCGGGTGATTTACATTAATTTTAACCCCAGGTGATCATAATAATTTAACACTTGAGGGTATATAATTATTCAATTACTTTACTTTCTGCTTTTGATTATATAAGTAATTTCTTACGATCTCTTATAATCATAAAATTATGCAACTCTATTTTAGTCTTATTAATTTGCTTTATAAAACGTGCATCCTACATTCGTGATTATACAAATATTTCTTATAATTATAAGACCCTGTTGCTATTTAGTTATTCATTCATTTAATCGTGCATCTTGTATTCTTTTAATCATAAAAAATGGAACCTGACAATGATACAAATTTATCCTTTCAGTATTACCCTTTGTACTCTTTATTTGAAGAGGACCTGTTGTACCCTTTATATAAAGAAAATTTGATAAGCAAAACTCACCCATTCGGTATCAAACCAAATAATGGTTTCAAAACAAATAATGCCATTAGTATGTACTCATTTGTCAGATTCTCTTTTTTTTTTTTTTTTTTTTTTTTGTTGAACTTACCAACTTAATCACATCTCTAATATCTTCTATTTATTTTTGCATTCTAATTGAAGACAAGTACTTTTTATTCAAAGAAGACGTTATAGATGAATCTCAGCCAAGTAGTTCCAGAACAAATCATAGGTTTATATTTGGCTTCAGATTTTTTGTAGTTAATAAATTCATTTGTAACTATTTACTTCACGATCTAATGTAAACCTCTGTTTATGCCTTTGTCTAAGATGGTTCAATTATCAAAACTCCCAAAGATATTCATGAAGAGGAAAGTGAACACAAGAACACAGAAGATGATATAGATGAATTTGGGAGGTTACAATTATATGTAGGTATGAAATTTGACACATGGAAACTCACTAAATCTCACCTTGTGGAATATGGAAAACAAGAAGGATTTTGTCTTCGTAAACAATGTCACGTTCCTGATCTAGTTGACAATAGTATAACCTGTCGCCGTACTTTTGAATGCTTTCATGCACATATACATGAAGCTGAAAAGACCATTTTAATGGAGAATAGAAGAAATAAGGAATCAGGGATAATTGATTGTTCCTGGCACATTAATTTATCATTCCCTAAAATAGAACATAGAATTAAAATAAACACTATTGTAGGTAAACACAACCACCCAATGAACCCTCTTATTGTGGAAACAGCTCCAAGGTTCCGTCGTTTAACTGATGAAATGTGTGAAAAAATTAAATTCTGGACTGTTCAAGGAAAATTAGAAATGGCAACACAGTATAATCTACTTTTCGCATTGTTTCCTGATAAAAAGATTAATAAAAAAGATCTAAATAACACTATAAGAAACAGTTAAAACCTCAAAAAAACAATGCATGTCAAACTTTAGCTGATTTATATAAGAAGAAGGATAATAAAAGCCAAGAATTGACCCTGATGAAAGAAGACTAACGGTATTATTCTGGATGTTCCTGGCCCAAATACGTGCTTATGAAAGGTTTCATGATGTTATTGTTATTGATACAACATCAAAGACAAACCAATTCGATATGATTCTATTTATAGTTATGGCTATTAATAATAACTTTAGAAATTTAATAGTGGCTGCGGCACTTATAGAGGATAAAACTGAAGAAACATTTACCTAGATTTTAGATGAACTTAAAATAGCTTGTGAAATTACTCCAAGAGTAATATATTCAGATTCAGACCCTGCTTTGATATCAGCTATACGTAATAATTACCTAGAGACACATCTTTTCCATTATATATTCTACATCAATCTAAATTTGAAAAAAAACCTCAAGAAAAAGTTACACAACCAATTTAAGCAATTTCGATATAAATTTTTAGAGATGCGCAACTCCCTATGTTCTAGACAATTTGAAACTAAGTGGGCTAAGCTTATTGAAGAATATCCTGTCTGTGAACAATATTTGACACATACTTTGTATTTATACAAGGAAAGTTGGGCTAGCTTTGCAGGTATTTTGCAGACTATATATAGCAATCGCATAAATTTCATTGGCTAATCATCAACATATTTTCAATTAAAAAATTAATTTCCGGTGTAGTCAATAGGCATTTTACTGGGGGAATTCAAAGTACCCAACGAGCAGAGATTTCTAACAGAATAATAAAAGATAAACTTAGCTGAAATTCATGACTGGCTGATGTTATTGAAAAAATCCAAGCAGCATTCGATAATCAATCAAAAAGGGCATTAGTAAATGAATGTAAAAGTGCAATACCAACTCGAGGATTACCCAATATAATGGAAGAGTACTTTCCGGAAATGATCAAGCTATTGCGAGAATATTTTACACCATAAATATTCCAAAAGCAATGTGACCAAATATTACAATTACTCTGCTACGATGTTTTTTTGATTAATGACTGGTCTTCATTATTGGAGGTATGTAGAGAATTTCTGATTTAGAAAAGTTTACTATTGAAATATAGTTAGAAAGCTAGATTTAGGGTTGCAGTTAAGATAGGGCTATGTGTTGCGCATAGCAATACACATGAATTAGAAGAATTGAATTAAGACGTATTAAAAGAATTGGAATAGGAAACTTAACATTTTTTTTTATTTAGACAACAGATGATTCTTACTAGTTAGAAATGGGTAGAGAAGATGAATACGATCAACCACAAGCTCTATTCTCTTCATTGATTAGTCATATGTTGAACCACAATATTCTGGAAGTATGGGGCGTAAATAGGCATAAGTCACTACAGATAACACCCCAATATGTAATCGTACTAGATGATGGATCTCACCTATGCACCTGTCTTTGGCTTATCAATAGAGGCATTGTCTGTAGACACTTTTTTAGAGTAATGTCTTATTCTCAAAATGCATGCTTCCATATTACTTTAATCCCACAGCAATAGTATAATGACAAAAAAGCCAGTGTTGATCGACAAATTCATTTTTCTACCTCAGTCTATCAAATTGCTGAAAATAAATTAAATTAGCTTCTTTTATAGCTATTATTATTTGATTATTTGGCAAATATTAGAAAAACAGATTACATTGAGCAAAAGCGAAATCCTAAACAAAAATATGGTTTTGGGATGGGT